TGTCGGCATTCGTGGACTACCGATCCGCCTCCGGGAATCACACCGAAAAAATCTGAATGAGGTACTTCGTTTCTTTTTCGCTCACGTAACGTGACGACGAGTGGCTCCAGTCCCGCGACGAATTGATGGATCATTTGTCATCTCGGTCGAGGAATGGGGCCGAAAAAAAAAACAGAAAAAATTAACGGAAGGAAGATCGAAAGCCATTGGAAGTGTGCTGGCCCCAGATCGATTCACATTCAATACTATTAATTGAAAACGTTGCTCCCGGAACAGACGATACGTTTTTCCGTTCCCAGCGCGACCCAAAGTCGCCAAGTGTGTTGCCACATTTTCCGCCGTCCGAATGCTTCGCGGATCTTCTCAGGCGTAGATGAAGACAACCGTCATAATGACGTGTCGATGAAAATGTTCCCGACTGACTCCTTTGTCTTGTCGCGGTAAACCAAAAGGTAGCCGCCGAATTCGGAAGCATTGCGAAATCATTCAGACGAGAAATATCTCAGGGTGTTCTTCCGAGATTTCCGATAGGATATAGGTACATACATTCCGCAGTATGGGAGCGGTCTATGCGTTTTCCGCAAATGAGCTGCTCATCCTCGAGTTTCCGGAGCACTCGGAATCGGACTCTAGGCATTCCATCCGATTGAGAGTTCTTGCGAACCATTGTTATCTTTGATGTTCGAAGCTAACGGTCGATTGGATGGATTCTCCGTGAGATTTCCGATCTCTTGTTTCTCTTCGAGCAAAAAACTGAACCAATCGCGGCCATCCGGATCATGGTCAATCATTCACTTTTCTCCTGGGACATCTGATCACAAGTCGATATAGGCACATGCGATTGGGAACGCGATCGATTCCGAATGAAAATCGGCTCGCCGGCACCACGAGCATCGATCTGACGCTTATACGTTAGATCTGTGATATTTTTTTCGCTGCGGATCTCGAGTCTGTGAAACAGTGTATTCAACGAAGGCTCCGCATCCGCAAACCGGGATTAGCATTACCCACACGCTGGAGCTGACGGTTATGATGTGCTTGTTGGCGGTGGTGGTGATGACGGGATTCCGTATGTAAATTGTTTTCGTTATGTCTCGTCGCGAGGTACTAATAGAATTTTTTCCCTCGACGAATGCACTCATCCCGGGAAAGGCTCGCCAGGCTCGCCGGAACGAAGTCGAGAGACCGCGGAAAAGTGTCGAAACGTACCGACAAGCAGCACCGAAAGCGACGGAAAGTGGACGAGCATGGAAACCAGACCTGAAACTAGGCGGACACGGTTCCATTATCGTGCGTACCTGTCAAGTGACCGTGTGGGCATATGTTCTTCGGTCAAAACGGAATCCGTGCCGAAATCATCTTGATAGAGAATGAGCTCTCGGGAGATTCGACTCTACAGGACTTGAAAAGGATTCCGGCAAGTTCAGAGAGTTTCAATTTCCAGATTACAGCGCGGACTCCCCGCAGTCGGCGGAGGTCATCACTCTCACCGCCAAATGAGCTCCGTATTGAGATCAGGGAATTTTCTGATCTTGTTGAAGTCACGTCTGCCGAGATTCTCAACACAAGAATCATGCCTGCGCGAAGTCTCTCTAGGAACTAGGGACGGGGGTCTCAAGCCTGGAGGAGCTCTGTAAAATCCAGGAGTTGTCTTTGATTTCGGTATCGCGGTATAATAGCCCGCTCTTCAATGCAACTACAAAACATTGTGGCATGGCGAAGCTTTAGAGGTCTGCAAAACGATGTCACTTCTGGGCAGACTCCAAGGAGGTCTGTCCCTAAACACATATATCTCATCGCGGAAAAAGCCACGTGATTTCTGATGGACTTCGGCAAGAGCGCTGACAAAACTCTAGTATTAGATATCACTCAGTCGCGGAATCTGTTGTCTTGTTCTACTGCAATGCTCGGCATCATCGTTTATTCTGGAAACGCCGTCTCGGTCGAATTATTCGGGAATAAATTCCTGGAAAGACGGGCATCTTGAGGAAGCGATTTTAACCACTATGATTCGATCTCAAGTGAGTAGCGGGCTAAGGTATGCGAACATTGCTCGTCTCTGATTGCACGGCGCGGCCGGCGGAAGCACAACGGTCGACCGAAACTGCTTCGGACTCGCAAGCTATCTTCCGAATATAATTTACGGACAAACGATTCGCTTGGCACCTTCAGCGTCCATTCAGACGAGAAATTGTTCTCGGGGACAAGCCCGGGCGCGAATTCGCTGGGCACAGTAGCCTTTGCTAAGATTGTTATACCAAAGCCCACCGAACTCAAGATGCTTACCATGTCTCGCCGTGGAATTAGCCGCTGATTGAGTTGTTGTGATGTCGATCACGACCAAAAGCATTTGCACTTCAAGACGTCGGCTGGGCGAAGGCCGATGCCGTCCGAGAGAGCGAATACTGCACCTGATCCCCGGGTTGGTCGCCGTAGGTGGCTCATTCATCCGTCGGCATGATTCCGTTCTGATTCCGGAATGTCCAAAGACGGGACTCGGGTTCAAATTCCAGGTTCAAATCTGCGTGACGTCGCTTACTCCGCGGCGAATGTCCCTCGAAATTGTGTGTCATCTTCATATCACGATAGAGCTCTCTATGTCTGAGTTCGCACCTCGGACTAAGCCAGTCAACGTGGTTTTCTCCGTGGTTTCCCGTATTTTCCCTAACGATTGGCAGAAAGACTTGCTGTGATTCTTAATTGGAATCGGGTTGCGAGATTGTCTCGCACACACGCATTCAGCCGAACGGTCCATAGAGAATCTTTGAAGCTGTTCGACGTTGCTCCCCCGGCCATTGATTTTATAGTGTTTGTGCAGTTCAACGCTGCGGTACCTTCTTCACGAGGAAGTTGAGATGTCTCCGACGACAGATCTAAGATTCTTCGTTGGAGGCAGCGCTGGACTCTTTAGAAGCGGAGACCTTTCGTTCGCATTGATGTGATTCTTCACAGGGTCGTCGTTAGCCTAGCGGGGAGTCGTATACTTGCTTTGACTGCAGCAACATTTCCTGTGTAGCACACGCAATGAGTTTCTGACCCGATGACTCAGGCAGCAAAACGGAGAATGAGCGAAGTCTCTGTTTAAATCAACCGGTCCGCGTCTGAAACATGGCCGAGTGGAGCGCATGATTATCAAGTATCGAGAACGACTTACGGAAAGAGAAGCCCTCAAGTGGAAACTGGTTCGCAAAAAACCAATAGCTGCCTCTTCTCAGCTCCGGTTAGAAAAAATCAAATGATACGCTATGATTCCGAAAAACTCCGTCTTTTTTCTGAAGGAGGCCATAAATTGCGAGGATTCCCTTAACACCGATTTCTTCTGGGGAACCTCGTCGAATCCTTGCCGAGGGGAACGAGTGCACTCGACAATAACATGTGCACGGATCCGAAGGAATGAAACGCACTAGATTCCAATGAAGCTGATCAGGCTTGATCGAATTCTCGCGATTCGCGATTTCCCGAATTTCGGCGAAGAAATTCGCTGCTCCAGGAGCGCTATAATCTCGAAGCACATCATCCACGATCGTTTCGCGGCTCACGACTCTGCGCCGACATCAGTAAGCCGCCAGATACGTGTCACACAGCGCCTGCGATCAATTAGAAGAACACGGTGGCTCTTCCGTTATTTTTAATCCCGGCCGTGCTTTTCTTAAAGATTCCTCGGCTCCTTCCCGAAGTCTTCTTCCGACCGCAGTGTCCGGCGCCATCGCGATCGTTTCCTCTCCTCTACTCGATCCAGTTATGAACTAAGACGCGGGACAATTGTCCACGATTCCGCGATTTCGGAGCTGTGCAGGACAGTGTGTTGCTTACTCTCTTTCCGAGACACTGCCGACAACATAAGAACAAGATGTGGGTGCTGCCCTCCGGGAAAAGAAAAAAATGTCCCTCTGGATAGCGATATCCGGCTCATTCGAAAATGCTTGAGGGTAAGCTTCGGTCAGCTCGAGCGCCCAGGAGCGAAAATGATTGGAACATGAATCCGGATGACTCCGGTGGAATGGATCCACTCCCTTTCGACTTGAATCGATTCTGATGGAGAAAAATCAAATTCGTCGGTCATGGTACTCGTTACGCTTCAATACGATTCACTGTCTCCCGGAATTCTGTTGACGACTTCGGTCATCGGGACGTCAGATCCGCCATCTATGACAATATAGAGTAGAAGAAAATTATCAAACTCTTAGAAAGTCTCGACGGTGTGTAAGTTTTCTGGACATCGTTCGCTTTACACAGGTGGAGTGGATAATTAAATTTCCGCTTCTTTTAATCCGAGCGGTAGTTGTAACGCACTTTGAATTTCATTGCAGAGAAATTCTCGTAGTGTCTGAAAACTCTGATTGAAAAAATGAGGGCGATGAAGATGATAGGGGTTGTCGTTGTTATTGCCGCTACTGCCGGCGTTTTCCACCGATGATGATGATGTTCACTGTTCCATTCGGTTTGGCGTAGTACTTTCACGCCGATCGTTCGGCGCTGCCGGCAGTGCTCAATGGCCGGACACATCTTTCCACGCGCGTTTCGGGCTCCGGTCCACCTTCTTCGGATCCCTTCGTCGCTGCTGCTGTCGCCGCTGCGCGTCGTGATGGTGGTCCACCTTCTCCCCCTCGACGAGCCTCCTTGCCGAAAAAGCGAAATTTTGCTTTTCCAAAAAATTTAGGTTATATCGATGCTGGAGCCGCCGGCATCAACGTTGGTTTATTCTACACGACGTTTAGTTGATGTTTTTATCAGTGTGATAATACTTGGTGTTATTGTTTTGGTTCATTTAGGCCTCGGAGTTGGTGTTGTGCTGCGGTGAAACGGATTACTCAGAGGATAGGAAGAGACGAATACGACAAGCTCAGGGTCGTCGCTGCGTTCCGCGCAGTCATTCGCTACCTTTCTGCTCAGCCTTCGATGGCTCCCCAAGCTCAGAACGTATCGTGAATGTCGTTCGAACTCGCTCAGGCACTCGGGCACTCGAGGTTTTGTTGAGCTGGGACTGAATTCATTCGAACATGAACAGTGGCTACGGACCCAACTATCGTCATTACGAGCAGTACGGTGAGTTATAGATCAGACAAAGGGAACTGAACGTGGGCTCAGGACGCTCTATCGCACTGGATCCTTTGCCGTGAGTTCGACGTGCGGAGAACGGAACTCAATCTCGAGTGTGCCGTACACTTGGATTTGACGAAGAAGGAGGAGAGGAAGAAAACAGCTGAAGACACTGCCTACTTTGCCGTTATTGGAAAGCAGACCGAGGAAAGGAAGCGGTACGGGAGGGGATGGTTGGGATGAGACATCGATCTCATCTCTGAGGAGTGAAAACCGCACGTGCTCGCGGAGATTGGGGTCGATGTAGGCGCGGCGTTGGCCCAAAGTGTTTGCGCGTATGTTCTCCAATAATTTGCGGAGAGCCTCGATCGAGCTCGTGATCTGATATGAGCCCTCGCAACTGTCCGGATTCGACCCACTTCGAGGACACATATTCGAAGAGGGGGCCTCCGAGAGACTGCGGGAGATCAGCACCATGCAATGATGGCGGTACTCATCTTGACCATCGAGGGTCATCGCTTTGATCATTCTGAATTTTGATGATCGAAATCATGACCATGAGTCTTTTGATGACCCGTCGATGGGAATGATATTCATGGTTTATCTTCGATTCCGCCATACTTGAATGTTTCCGTGGACACGGGGAGAGCTCACATGTTCCTCGTCATCGCGATATTTGTCCGCAATCTTGAGTTCCAGAGGTTTCGGACGAAACTTTGAGCTCGATCGGGTGCCTTCTCAGAAACTGTGCCGAGCTCCGTTCTGCCATTATAGAGATAGCCGACGGAATTCAACGCTCCCACCGACACTACCACAAAGTTGGAATACAGGGAAAAAGTACACAGCCGCAGGCGCCTTGACCTGTACTCGACCGGAACGTCGTTCCACCGCATAATATTTTTCCCCCGAGCACACTCGCCTGGACCCTCAGGTTTTGCATGGGAAAACTTCTGGGAACAGTCCTGAGGAGCGGATACCGACCGGCCCACCCCTCGTTGAATTCGATTCGATTCCGGACATATTCTGGTATCACGGAACCCGAAGGAGCCAGGGACATCGCTGTAGATTTTCCTCGGAGAAAAACAAAGAATCACTCGTCGGGTCCTCAGCTTGGAATTATTTCGGATCTCTCTGCTTGAGGTTGATAAGCGTTGAGTCAATCTAGAGCCCCGAATTCGCTGGTCGATGAGCGCTAGCTCATCTCTGCACTTGTTCGCGCTCACATCGCGATGCGCATTCGGAAGAATAAACGGTGAATAACATGGCGCACCCTTCTGCGGAACAATACGGTGTACTTTCCAGCTCTCACGGGACATTCGTGATTGATCGGGCTCGAAAAGAAAGATCAAATCGGATCCCTTCCATGGCCCGTACGAGGAATCGTCATCTATTCTCAGAGAATGCTCTTCTTTATGCCTCACAAGCTGGTGCGGAATCAGACACTGTCCACCTGCGCCCGGAGCTGTCTCCGATCGCGTAAGCGTCGACCTCAATTACGATGTACTTCATCGCATCACTCGTAGCCCAAGTGCTCCGATCAGAAAAATGTAGCTTCGATCTAGTCCGACCGAATAGTTCACTGATCCTACGACAAGGATCGTCAAGTTTTCTCCTTCCATATCCGGAAGATGCCATCAACACTGAGAGTGAGTGAGTCTGATTGTTCGGCCTCTCAGAAACGGGGACGTCTAATCTTGGATCGATCAATGAGCAGCGATTTTGGATCCGAAAGAGGAAATCACGGAGCCGTTCGCCACAGCGCCAATAATGAGATGACGAAAATGATCGAAAACGAATGTGACGAACGGCTGCCCGGACGAGCGGACGGGATATACGGATGACGGACGGACGAACGAGCGAATGGATGGCTTGATTTTTCATCTCCCTTGATCGGACAGCTCTCTTTACCATCGGAGATCCCCAACGTTCGGACGCTCGGCCACTCGATGCTCGAAGAAGAAAAGCGAGCGCGACCGACTTGGACCGCGTGTCGGAAGAGTTCCCGGGGAATCTTCAGCCCCGCGAAATATTAGTTTCGCCGGTCCTTTCTTCACGAAACGTATCCCGCTTCAATTTCGATGCGGTCTACCCGTATTCCTGCTTATCGAACTTTTTCTACGCTGAATCCCGTACCGGATCCATCAGTCTGTGTAGCGGTTTACTCAGACAGTCAACGTCCGAAGGAAAATGAAAGTTGTTGCGATGATTCGCGTGGAGTTGAATGGACGTTCCAAAAAGTCGCCTACGGGCAACAAAATAGAAATGATCGAGCTACACAGCTCTGTCGTTTCTTAAGAAGTTGAAAATGGATGCAAATCTGTGCATTTTTCTCATGGAATGCAACGCGTGATATTACAGGGGTCAGACGAATGATATAATTTTTCTTCTGGGAAATTCATCGTTTACCACAAAAAATTCGTGGGAGAGAGCCCGTCGCCAATGTTCGCGTGGGAGAAATCGCGACTAGGACTTCCTTCCCTAGGATTTCTGTCGCACTCGCGGTGCTGCTGCTTAGGATCCCATGCTCGAGGTATTGAAGAAAAAGAAGTGGAATCATATTTGACAAGAAAAACAGCATCGTTAGGCAGCCGCAAGATCCTAATAGACTCAAGCTAAGAACTCTATTCAGCGCTTGACTGCTTGCTTGGCTTCGAGCCTTCATGTGCTGCTGTCGCTGACCCCGATCCCAGAGGTCAAATTTGCAGGAGCGGGAATTCGAAATGTTGATTCGACTTCCTGGGAGCTGACGACGACTTCTCCTCCGACGTCCGCTGGTTCGACTTCGTCCCGGTCGTCTTCGTATGCGACTACGTTTCCATGCGGCCCGAGCTTCATTCTGCGCCGAAGTCGGAGACATTCGGGATCCTTTGCAGATAAATCAGGAAAATGTTTTCTTAGCCGCATCCAGGAACTAAGTGTTCGACTCTCGCGAGCCCACGGAGTTTTCTTTTGTGGCTCCATAATCCGGTTACGAAACGCAGCGACGTCGGTGGGAAACCCTGACTTTTCTGGTGGGCTCAGAATTTTTATTCGTCGGGGTCTGCGGAGCTCTTTTCTCGACGGTTTCCAAGCACTGCGCCGGCACTTGACCGACTCGACCGACTTAAAAAAACATACTGCCATTTGCGAGGGAGCATCATCCGTTTTGACGATTTTTCCAGACCCAGACAAATAGTCAAAATTTATCTCCACTGTCATCACTGTTAGCGATACCAGTCTCACTTGGTCAACGATTTCTCACTGACTTCACCACGCAATAGATCGCTTTCGCTTGGGGCCCTTCAAAACTCGAGCGTAAATGCGAATTTGAGTCGAATTCCGCTCTGGGAACGCGGGCAGCGGGGAGTTGATGACTTGTCACGCTTCGACTCGAGAATATTGGGAATTCTGAAAGCCTGGGAACATCGCTCCGAAGAACGCGGGCTAAATGATCGCCCTGATAACGGAGAACTCGAACGTCTCGCTTTCGTTCGGTTCCTGCTCCTCGCGCACTTTCGCCCGGCAAACGAAGTTAAGTCGGGTCGAGCGGAGTGTTCACATCAACAAGAGCACATCGTATGTAGTTTACTCGACAAACAAGGACTTCGAAGCTGAGCGACAGCAGTGGTAAGAACCACTCGCTTCTCAGGAGACTCTTGATGAAAGCACGGAAACGTCACCTGTGAGTTGATTTCAGAACCTGAAGCTGGGTTCAAATGTCGATTTCGACAAGTGGCTTCTGAAAGGGCACGGCTTCCGGATGTCAGCTTCTGTTGGAATAACCTTCCGTGAGGTTCCATCTTTGATAAGGTCCAATGTTGCCGAAGAACGCCGCAGTTTTCTTTCTGTTTCCGCAAGTCAAACCTCTCGTCGATATGTCGAACGAGTCGTTACCACTCGTCACGGATACTTTCTATTTTTTCGGATTGACAGCATCCTGACACTCATTTCCCTTTCTTCACGAGTCCCTCGATTTTGACGTCGAGTCAGCTCGAACGAAGGGCGAGTTTCGTCTTCGTCGGATCTTCTCTCGGGATAAAGTGTTTGCTTTCGCGGGTCGAAAGAATCGATACGGGACTCGACCGAGATAGCCCCGAGCGGATGAGCGGTGGTCCCTCGTCCAAGGCGAATCAGTCCGTTCGGTTAAACAATCGAGGCTCCACCGATCCAGTACTTCAGCGGAGAGATTTTTTGGCAGAATCCCACACTTGTGATGGTTTTGTTTTTACGCTTTGGACGACCCGTTTGCGTCGATGCGATTCCAACAGTTCGAAGGAACTGGCCTGAGCCGCAACAATCTCGTAAGCACCTCCGGTCCGGTCGAGTGTCAAAAGACCTTAATTAGCATCGAGAGAGAGATATATGGAATCCACTGCTGCGCTCTGTATTGCCGCAGACATTATGTCGTGTACACAAACGGAGCAAGTCACGCGAGCAGCTATCCAACTGGTTCAAGCTGCCGTCCATCGTCTTATTTTCCGTCGCACGAAAGCTCCGCATGATGACTGCGAGAGATTTTCCACGACAATCCTCGGCAAGCAACCTTAATGAGAAGACGGAAACAAGATGTGAAGGGACGAGATACCGTCAGAATTCTCCGCAACGGATACAATCCGCTCTGAGCTTGCTCCCGCAGCTGTTCGCGCCAGCGAGCTCTCTCGCCGACGCTGAGCCGCTTGATCATGAGCGAGTTGCTCACAACCATTAACTTAAACCCTGCAACCCCATTCCCGGGAACGAGCACTAGCGCTTGGTAGTTGAAATCTAGAAATAATCAAGGCTAAAGAATCGATCGTTGATTGTTTGTTCTTGTCTGATGCCGCTCATGGAGCCAGTCACTCCGGTCGGTTCTAACGCGCGGTCACCCAGGCTGCTTTCGAGTTTTCTTTTCGTCTGAAACGGAAGCAGCACCGGCGTCACTCCAGCACTGCCTTCACTTGATGCCTTTTCTTCTCTGGAGTCGTTGAATCATGGCCTCCCGGACTCGATGTGAGCTTGCATCGGTTTCTACCCGAGTAGCATCGCCA